ACTGTAGATCGATTGCTTTGTTCCGAAACAGGGATTAAAATTATTACAATGTTGCTTTTTATTCTTGGTGCGGTTCGCTTTCACATGGCAAAGTTTCCAAACGGACCAAATTTGTTAATACAAGTCACGCGCGAGTAAACTGTTCTCTCATTGGTCAAAGTTCCACGGTTTATTTTCCGGGATTCCACTTAGCTGTCACGGATGTCATCCGTCAGGATGGAACGACAACAGTTACGTGGGCTTATTGTTGGGTTTTTTTTGTAGCTGTCGTTATAATAATTGATCATTTTGAGCAGGAGTACAGGATTGATTGGGAAAACATTTTTAAAATGCACCTACTACAAAGAAGAGCAATAATAAAAAGTGCGCTTTGATTTTTGAATGGCAAGACGTGCTCACCCACAGACATTCACAGGTTCATTTTGAGGTATTAGCAAAACAACAAAGCTAATGCTTTTCACGGAACTTACGTAATTACCCAATTATAAATTGTGATATAGCCTGGTTCGTTGGTCCGTTGGATCGGATTGCTTTCTCACTACTACCGAACCGCTCCAGAGTTTGTTTTCAATCGAGCCGAGACCACCTCGTTCAGACGATCTCGGACCGATTGTTTTGCCGCGGATCCGAGCGCGATTGCCGTGTTCACATATGCCCAAACGAACCGAGCTAAGGGGGGAAACGCGCCAGGTTCCGAAACAACAGGCCAGGTGTAAACGCACCCTTATGTAACAGTAGTGACTCTGGGCATGTGACCAAAAGTGCCAATCTCATTGGTGTGATGGAAAACGGATTACAATACCTTTCCCTAAAAATAATCCATAGCATTTATGATATGCAAATATTTGAACAAACAAATTCAAATTCAAATGTTTTTACAAACACACACAAACCAAAAAATTGGTGTTAACCAATACATTTTGTATGAGAAATAGTACCACTAGGCAGAGATGTTGTGATTGCTACCTCAGATGGAAAGAAACACTTGTAGGTCACTGTGTAGGTCCAAACACATTAGTTCACTATTAAGGCCCAATTAATGCCTGTAGGGTCTCACTGATTCAGTTAACCGTGCTTTCATTTTTAACTACACATTTAAGGAATCACTTCACCCAGGCAGAACTGGTACTAGAGTTTCTGCCAGACATATAAAACCATCTGCATTGGGGAATATTGTGTTTGAAAGTAGAATGTTGCACTGCTATTTAAACGAGAGTCCCAACCATATCTAGGCCCAACATTTTTATAGGCACACAGCCAATATCAGCCTAACTCAAACACTGTAATATTATTTATCAATAATAAATATTATATAATATATAAATAATATGTATTTTAATATATTTAAATAATTATAATCTAATAATAATTTTATAAAGTCAAATGTAATATATATAACATGCACAAAAAAAGACTCTGGCATTATGGAGTAAATTCAGTCACTTCCAAAAGATAATTGATTACGCATGAAACTTGAGACCTGTGTGCCAAGGAATATTATCCATCCATTATGTATTGGCTGACGTGCATGTGTCTGAAACACCTTGAGACAAGCACTGATCAATATGCTGCTGAAAAACTGCCAAAAAGCAAAGAAAGTAACAGTTTATTGGCTTAAAGTAATGAACTTACCCCTTTCACCCCTTTCAAATCTCCCTTCAGCAGACTGTCCAATGGGAAGGTAATGATGTTATTCATGTTCTGAAACTAGAGAGTAAAAGCACCACATTAGAAAAATCTCTTTCTTCCCAGCTGTGCAATTGTCTTTCTATAATTGCAATCAGAGATAAACAAAGACGAGAGGAAACAAAAAGGTCTGTTGCAGTGGGAGAGAAATTAGACGTTTAAGTAGTATTCATGCAAACATGATGTTAGTGGAATTATTCATTAGCTTTCGCAAAAACTAACAAGACAACATCCCAAATCATAAATTAGCAGCACTAGTAACTACTAAAACACATTCATGAAAGTTGATCCACCCAGTAGGCCAATGACTCCAGATCAGTTTTTGGGCCCAGAGGTCCAAGCACATTAACAGCTGAAGGTAAGATATCTGAAACCCATTTGCTCCATATAAAAATCACATAAATGCACAATAAATGTCCTCACCAGGTTCTTGAAGAGGGCTGTGAGCTCCTTTGTGAAGACTGAGAACTTCAGGAAGGCTGATCCCAAGTCAGGGTCATCTCGGTACACACAGTTCTCTCCAAACTTCTCCAGAGCTTGAGTGTACTGCTCCTCGTTCTCCACGTGAGCTACAGACAGAATGTCAATGTAGTTTATATCAACTTAAATCCAACAGTGGTTTAAAACATGGTTACTTTAATCAAATTAAAGGGATAGTTCACCCCAAAATGAAAATTCTGTCATTAATTACTCACCCTCAAGTAGGGATATTCGATATATATCGTCGGCGATTGTTGATACAAATTTTTTGTAAAAATGCCCATAAAATGTAAAAATCAGTCTAAACTTATTGGAAAATATAAATTTCTATCAGTGTGAACTGACCACTATACAGAATATGAAGAATATCAAAAACTTTAGGAGTCAGCTGTCCACGGCAGTTCTTAAGATACCAGTACAATAACACACTCAGCAAAATATTGTCTAATTATTGTTATCGATAAAATCCCAGAAAATATCGAGATATTATTTTTGGTCAAGATCGCACACCCCTACCCTCATGTCATTCCAAACCCGCAAGACCTTCGTTCATCAGAACACAAATTAAGATATTTTTGATGAAATTTCGAGAGCTTTCTGACCCTCCATAGACAGCAACACTACTGTAGTAAGGACATCATTAAAATAGTCCATGTGACATCAGGGGTTCAACGTAATGTTATTAAGCTATGAGAATACTTTTTATGTGCAAAGAAACAAAAATAACGACTTTATTCAACAACTTCTCCTCTTCTGTGTCAAAAAAAAGTCATTGAATAAAACCGTTATTTTTGCTCATAGCTTAATAACATTACGGTTGAACCACTGATATCACATGGACTATTCTAACGATGTCCTTACTACTTTTCTAGGCCTTGAACTTGTTGATTGTGTTGCTGTCTATGCAGGGTCAGAAAGCTCTCGGAATTTCATCAAAAATATCTTCATTTGTGTTCTGTAGATGAACGAAGGTCTTACGGGTTTGGAATGACATGAGGGTGAGTAATTAATGAAAGAATTTTCATTTTTGGGTGAACAATCCCTTTAAATATGGCAACTAAATTGTATGTAATGAATGAAAACAATTAGGCCTATTAAGCTCTACACAAACAAATAAGCCTAACATTCTTCACAGTCACAGCATTGTGTTTGTCTCCCATAACTTATTGTTCTTTCCAACTGTTGGTTTCTTTTCCTCACGATTGTGTTGTCATGTATTCCAGCATTATCAGTTACAGTCCACCTAATCACATCAACTTCGTCCTACCATGGACACACAAAATAGCCTATTTATTGTTTTAATGAGTCTTTTCCACACTCTGCTCATTGTTATTGTACGATGAGACAAAAAGACTCTGATAGGGCCTGATGGAAACGTAAACAAATCCAAAAACCCAGAACTTCCTCTTAATTCCATCAAACTCCCAGTCGACGTCCTCTCCAGGGACAAAGAACGAAAGAGGGAAAACAAGCAAGCGTGTAATTCACTGTTGCAGTGATGTTGCAAACTCCCCACAGTTTGTCTGCAGGGAAAATGTGTAATTTACAAGTACAGACATGTTATAAAATGTCGGGATGCTAGTCAATGTGCAAGCCTGTTTGTAATCAACACCTGGAGCTTTTCAAGCCTCCCTTGTGGGTGACCTTCTTCCCACAACTAGTTAACGTTATCGCCAAGAATAGCCATACAGTATTGTTATATAGTCGATCACCTCTTATGAATAATTCATACGATGATTTGATTCAGTGTAGCTTGTGATAGTCTCCTTGAGAGCTTTCCCTTTAGATGACCTATTGTATCTCGATAGGAAGGACACAATGGGACAGGAAGTGAGGCGGTGGTGCGCTATCACTCAGTCCAGAACTGGGGCCATGTGGTGACAAGACGGAGCAAAACAAAAGGAAGACCTGGAGACGCACTCCAGCAGATCTGAGCACTCGTGTGCTTGAGTAGACTTGGGAGCACCGCCCAGGTCACAACAACAGGCACGGTAATTAGATACAGGCTAATAAGGATAATGGATATGTGAAGGCCGTACGCCGAGGAGATTCCATTCAAATGAAAGCACTGTTTCTTATATCTGACTGGGAAAGCAGAGATAGGGCACCAATTTTTGTTGTATGCCTTTTGCCTGTTCAGTTTGATGAATGGCTGCACCTGCTTCAATAAATAAACACTTGATAATTACAAATGAGAGCACAAATGTGCAGTATATGCATCAGTAAAACTGCTAACTCAAGCTCAAACTCAAGAAGTCCAGACTTCTATTAGTTTTATCTCTGTAGTAGGCAGGATTTGAACATTAAAACGAGTTGCATCACTGTATACAGTACAAATTGTCAGATATCTTCTGAGTGAACATCCTGCATGACATTGAAAATATTTGAGATGTTCAACATCAAGTAAGCTTTAAGCATGAATTTAGAGACCTAAGATTTTCGCGATTTGGAAACCCGGAATCGCGGAATCCAGTCAAAAAAATGGAATTTACAGTATAACGCGGAATGTCATGAAATTCGCCCAATTTTGGATGAATAAATCAAAAGTAGGTCAGAACACTTAAATCAAAACGCGATATGGTCTAGTGTCTGTGAATATTAAGCTGCAAAAATACTATTTAAATATGAATCCTGCATGTTCTGCTGGTCTCTGTGTGAATGAACGACGCAGATGCACGGTTTCATTTACTATACACGTACTGAAGTGTGCCCAACATTCGTGGTGTTTTCAGCCTCTGCCGCCTCAATATATGAACACATTCATGAGCATTTTATCGTTTCTTGAGTAAAACTATGATGAACTCACTGATGAAAGCAGCAAGCCGAAATGTCTGTTATTTGTATTTATCTCCTGTTTAAATAAAGAGAATTTTAGAGTGCAGACCTTGAGTAACGTTTAATATAAGAAATAGGTCTTTGCACCTACAAAAGCTGGGAGAGCGCGGTGAGTGTTGAGATTTGAGTAAAACTATACCATATACAAACAAAAACCTAAAAGTCTTCACATCAACCCATCAAAATAAAAGTTTGGTTTAACTTGAAGAAACGGGACGCATGGAATTTGCCAAATTTTGGATGAATAAATCAAAAGTAGGTCAGTACACTTAAATCAAAACAAGATATGGACTAGTGTCTGAATATTAAGTCACAAAAATACTGTTTAAATATGAATCCTGCATGTTCGGCGTGTCTGTGTGTGAATGAATGGCGTAGATGTGCAGTTTCGTTTACTACGCACATCAATATATGGGTACATGAACATAAACATAACCTCTAGAACTGCTCTGAGAGTCGCTACATTAGCATTTTACCATTTCTTTTGAGAAAAAGCTATCGTCATATCATACAAACAGAAACTTAAAGGTCTTCACATCAACCCATCAAAATAAAAGTTTGGTTTAACTTGAAGAAACGGGACAGAAATATTGCTTAATGTAATGTTAGTACTACTACTACTAATAAAATTATTTTTAAAACATTATTTTTAAAGGAATATTTACCAGAAAAATGATTTACCAAAATGTATTTACCAGAAAAATGTAAATACACAACACCGTATTTATGAAAAAAAAATTAAATGATAAAAAATATATTTTTAAAATAAAATCATTTAATTAGAGATGCTTTTGATTATTAATATTTAATGAAACCATTAAAGTGGAATCCAGAAAATGAACGGAAAATAGAATTTGGTAAAAAAAAACTGAATTTGAGAAAAAAATAAAACATTTCATAGGGCTTTAAAAATGTCATTTCTGTTAAACATTTTTGATGAATGAAATGGAATCCAGAAAAAATTAAAAAAGAAGAAAAAAAAAAGGAATTTGGGGAAAAAATAAAACGGATTTCATAGGGCCCTAGCATGAATTATACGTCAGTTAAGACACGAACGCTTAGCATATGCGTACAGCCGAACATAGCCTTTTCAAGTATACTCCATTTGATAGCATGTGCAAACACATGCACACTAAAAATGATCATCGTTTATTTCATAATGTCTCTCTTACCCCTATTCATGCAAACGCTTGTCAATGCTGGTGTCTATTATTGTTGCAATATCTAGTTTGTTTTTCCGTCTCTCCACAAATGATACTGATTTCAAAATGGGTGAAAAATAGTTGTCTTAAAATGCACTATGCAGCATAATGTTTGCAACAGCATTCAAGTTGGTAATACGCTTAAAAATGATGCCTGAGTAGATGCCTCAATAGTGTGGAACAGACTGAATGGGTTATTTTACTTACCCTAAATGAGAATTAACCCTCACTTACCAGAAGGATTTCCATTGGATTACTGTAAAAGTGTTTTTCCTTCGCCAATATGATATGCTGTCTACAGGCATTAAGTTAATAGAGAAATTTCTCTTTGACCAACTACTTGGTAGAGTACTCAGTCACACCCCTTAGCAACCACATTCAAAGCTCATTCTAAATCACTCTGGATGACAGCATCTGCTATAATACATTAAATATTATTTGTACATTCAAGATATTGGATAGATTCATCGTTTGATCAAGTTATGACAGGCTCTCAAACTTAAAACCTGAACCACACACCTCTGTCTCTCTCCAGCCCTCTGTGACGTTACAGTCACACTCTCTGACAGCAGGAGGAAGGAGAGCAGTGGGAGAGAATCTGATTATAAGCTGTGAAGACCCTTTCCTTCAAACCACCTGCTGCATCACCGTGACTCATCACATCTCATTACAGGCCTGCAGACTTTCACTCTTAAAAATAAAGGTTCTTTATTGGCATCAACAGTTCCACAAAGAACCTTTACCATCCATGGAAACTTTTCATTCCACAAAAGGTTCTTTACAGTGGAAAAAGTTTCTTGAGGTTATTAAAATGTTCTTCACACTAAAAAATGGTTCTTTTAAGAACTGCACTGAAAGGTTCTTTGGGGAACCAAAACTGGTTCTTCTATGGCATCGTCGTGAAAACCCTCTTATGGAAGCTTTATTTTTAAGATTTTTAAGTGTTCCTGACTTGCACTCATTTTCCATTGATAATGACTTTCTGCCTATTTTTTACTGAAGAATGTTCTGGGCTAGGAAACTTTTATTTAAAATTATTATATATGTGAATT